GGATTACAGGCGTGCGCCACTGTGCCCAGCTGAGACTTACTTTTGACTTAGTAAAATATCTGTCCTTTCACCATCTTTTAAAAAATAAAGGCCAGAGATTAGCTCAGTGGTAGAGTATTTGCCAGTCATGGGCAGGGCTCTGGGTTTGATCCTCACTATTTCCTTATGATAATATAATAAATATTATGATATTAAACATATGATAATAAAGATTAATAAAATGGGTATCTGTGAACTCATCAGCAGCTTAAAAATAAAATCCTTCTAGGCTTTGCACTCCTTCTTCCCCAGGGTTGTTGCTTCCTCTGCCTTAGCTGTCATGCCAAGCAAAGAACCTCAGCTTCGAGTGTCCCTGGCATAGTTAGATGTGCGCCAGGGACTGCAGGAGCATGGGCAGGCGGGCAGCGCTGGTGCAGGGGTGGGACCCAGGGAGCATGTGTCCTGTCCTGCCCTGGAGCTGGGGCTCTTTGGAGATGGTCTGTGGTTAGATGTTCATGGCATTTTGAAATTGAAAGTAAGTAGAAAATTCTTGGCAAATTGTCCCTTGAAAGTGTGCTGTCTTGTATGTAATACATAATCATTGCTCATTGTGGAGGTATTGGTTCCCAGACCCCCAGGATCACAGAGCCCCCTAGATCTCTTACATAGATTGTGCAGTGTGTGCATCTAACCTGTCCATATATTCTGTTACATGTATGTTCTTTTCTTTGGCAGTGCTGGGGATCCAACCCAGGGTCTCATGCGTGCTACCAAGCATCTTTATACTTTTTTTTTTTGGTTTTTTCTCCGGTACCAGGAACCGAACTCACGACCTTGCGCTTGCCAGGCAGGTGCTTTTGCCGCTGAGCTAAATCCCCAGCCCCGCATCCTTATACTTTAATTCACCTCTAGATTACATATAAGACCTAATGCAGAATATTGTTCACATGTGACTTCATTCAAGTGGATTTGGCTTAGTACTGAGCATGTGGCAAATTCAAGTTTTGATTTTTGGAACTTGGAACTGGAACTTACCCTCATAATACAGTATTTCCAGTCCGCCATTATTGAACCTGTGGTTGTGGAACCCACAGATACAGAAGGCCAACTGTACCACATTTTCTTTATGGAATGCTAGTTAGCCTTAAAAAGTTGGCTAGTTTGCATTGGACAGTAACGTGGGTGTACCTTATAGACATTATGATAAGTGAAATAAGCCAAACAGACAGATCATGGCATGATTCCACTTACACAATTTCTCTAGAAAAGTCAAATTTATAGAATCAAGGACTGGAATGATTATTGTCAGAGATTGGGGAAGATGAGAATTTACTCAATAACAAGGATATAATTTCTGTTAAGTAAGAAGAATAGCTGTGGAGATCTGCTGTACAGCATTGAATTTACACAACATACCCTGTACTTAAATTTTGTTAAGGGGGATAGCTCATATTAAGTGTTCTTACCACAATTAATTTAAAAAAATCCCAGCTGGGCATGGTGGCTCATGCCTGTAATCCCAGCACTGGGGAGGCTGAGACAGGAGGATCACTGTGAATTTGAGACCAGCCTGGGCTACAGAGTGAGTTCAAGGCTAGCCTGGACTACATATTGAGACCCTGTCTCAAAAAAACCAAAACAACAAAACAAAACAAAACAAACAAAAAGCATAGTGCTGTCCCATTAGACGGTAACTAAGAATTAAAAATGAGAGGTAGTGCCCTCTCCAACGGAGAATAAAAAATGGTATCACTTGTGTAAAACCATGTGGTTTCTGCAGTCTTCTGTTCAGGTCACTTCGAGTAGTGTTTCTGCCACTAAGGACTTGAATAACCAGTTTTTGAGTAAGATTCTTGTCTTTCTTGGCCCCTTACTTTATGCTCTTAGTTATCTTTATTACAGGGAAGTCCAGGAAAAAGAAAACAGACCTTTATCAAGTCTCATTTCAATAGAGAAAATCTTAGATGAAGACAGTAAAACAAAGATTCAATATGAGTTTAATAAGAGAAGTTAGAACGAGTCCCACAGGCCCATTCTTACTGGCCGGGAGGAGGGCATGGTGGGTCTGCATGCGCTGCTGGCCTCCTCTCCAGTCACATCCACAGCATGCTCACAGACAGGGAGGTGTGCACAGGGCATGCGGCCCGGAAGTGGAGCTGGGCTCACAGGGTGGTGTCCAGGTGACATTTATCTCCATGACCTCCCGGGGCATGTCAGTGAGTGTATCAAAAATGGGAGGGAGGCTGGGTGTGGTGGGGGATGCCTGTAATCCCATCACTTGGGAGGCTGAGGCAGGAGGATCCTTGCTAATTCAAGGCCAGCCTGAACTGCATAGTGAGATCCTGTATCACAAAGACCAAAAAAAAGAGAGGACCCAGGCCTGTCTCAAAGAAACCAAAAAAAGGTGGGGAGAAGGCTGGGGATTTAGCTCAGCGGCACAGCGCCTGCCTGGCAAGCGCAAAGTCGTGAGTTTGGTTCCGGTACTGGAAAAAAACCAAAAAAAAAAAAAAAAAAAAAAAGTGGGGAGAGGCCTGGATTCAAATCTATAAAGTGTCCAGTAACTCAGAGCAGATAAAATCTAATCAAATGTAAAGTTCTGAGTCTACATGTGCGGTCTTGTCCTTGAATGTAAAGAAACCCAAGGAACAAATTTAGGATTGGCACACCATGAGTTAATAGCCTGTTTTGGGGAAAGGACTGAGATTTTGAAGGAAATATGGTAGGAAATACACAGTATAATCTGACTTCTTTGGGAGTTATTCACATGCAGTTGTGGAGACTCTGTATTCAGGAAAGAATCTTCATTTTAGAAGATCGTGTGTGTGTGTGTGTGTGTGTGTGTGTGTGTGTGTACCTTGTACAGACCTTTGTCTTGCTGTGTTGTCATTTCTCTCGAGATATGTAGCCAACTGTCAATTTTGTTTACAGTATGAATTTTCTTTTCCTGTAGCTCCCTTGCAGGATTGGTCCTCCCTATTTTTTGGAAAACCTATACTTTGCCTCTAAGCTGCAAAACCGCCTCTGTACTCTCTGGTGTCGCCCCTGCACCTGTTTCCGGGCTCTTCCATACAGCACGGACCAGCGTTCTGCCCGCGCCCGCTCTCCGCCGTCTGTGTGACCCGCGTGGAAAATGATAGCATGTGCTCTCCAGGCACTGCGCGCCTCCCATCCTGCTCTGCTTCAAGAGCTTCCTGACACTTTGGCCTTTTGACACTTAGAGGATAAGTGGGCTGAGGATGTAGCTCAGTGGTAGAGCGCTTGCCTAGTGTGTGCATGACCCTGGATTCAATCTCTAGCACTACAAAAAAGAGAAAAAAAGCTTTTGTTTGTCTTTCCTCTTACATACACACACACACACACACACACACATTCATTTCATTGCTGGTTCTTGATTTGGACTGCATTTAATTTAAAAATTAATGTGTGTCCAGGCATGGTGGTACACACCTGTAATCCCATTGCTCAGGAGGCTGAGGCAAGAGGATCACGGTGAGTTTGAGGCCAGCCTAGGCTACAAAGTAAATAGAAGACCAGACTGAATTGCATAGTGAAACCCTGTCTCAAAAAGACAAAAAAAATAAAAAATAAAAAAAATTAAAAAAAAATTGTGGATAATTTGTATCTTGACAATACCTTTCAGTCCTGACCTCGCCAATTTTTTTGTTTTCTTTTGGTTTGCTTTGGTTTGGTTTGATATTTTGAGACAGGGCCTCCCTATGTAATTCAGGCTGGCCTTGAACTTACTATATAGCCAAGGCTGGCTCAAACTTGCAGTGACCCTCCTGCCACAGCCTCCCTAGTGCTAGGATTTTAGGTGTACAGCAGATATTTGTGTTTGTTTTTTTTAAAGCCCCTCAGAGGCCAGGTGTGGCGCACACCTGTAATCCTAGCACTTGGGAGGTTGAGGCAGGAGGATCATTGCAAGTCTGAGGCCAGCCTGGGCTACATAAGTGAGTTTAAGGCCAGCCTAAACTGCATAGCAAGACCCTGTCTCAAAAAAAAAAAAAAAAAAAAAGAGCCCCTCAGAGTTTTATAATATATTCTGTAAAGGTCTTCAGATTGCACTTCAAATAATGTTTGAGAGTTTATTTTCCCTTATAATCTTAATGCCAGATTTCTTTTTCTTGTCTTATTGAGCTGGCTGGATACAGTATTGAATGAAGGTGATGATGTAGAAGACATCTCAAATTTATTCCCGATGTCAGAAAGAATATTTTCTTTTACCATTAAGCGTGGTATGTGCTGTGGTTTTGTAGACATCTCTTAGCAGGTAAGGAAGTGCTCTCACATCCTTAGCCCTCCTGGAATGCCTCCCCCTCTTCTCTTTTATTACAGTAAAAGACACATTGCCATTGATCACCCTCAGAATACTCCTGCTGCTCCACACACACACATCCCATTGTTCTGGCCGTTTCCTGAGGCACCTCTGGAATTCTGTCTTGACTTCAGTTATGCTGCTTCTGCTGCCTTGATGTCCTGAGTCCTCTCTAACCGTTTACCGGGAGTGGTCATTTTGACTTTGGGGAAGAGCCAGAAGTCACACTGTGCCAGGTCTAGTGAGTAAGGTGGGTGAGGACAAACCGTGATGTTTTCACTTCATGCTTTTTTGTTGCACAGCACTTTGTAGCCCTGCTCGCTGTATTTTTGATCACACCTCACATGAAAGAGCACTTCCAGAATTGTTTCAAAAAGTGGCAAGTAAGCTGGCCATGGTAGTGCAAGCCTATAATCCCAGCACTCTGGAGGCTGAGGCAGGAGGATCGTTGTGAGTATGAGGCCAGCCTGGGCTACAAAGTGAGCTCACGGTCAGCCTGAACTGCATACCGAGACCCTGTCTCAAAAAGACAAAAACAAAATAAAAGTGTTCTCACAGTATATGAATTCTGAGATAGTAGTTATTAACTTTCTGCATTCTTTTGTTTACTTAGGAAGCTGCTCTGTTGAACAAAATTTTTCCTTGCATGTTTAAGACTTTAAAAATTTTATTTGGTGTTCTGCAGTTTCATTATTGTCTAGCTTTATTTTTTATCTGTCCTTAGGATGTTAGGCATCTTAAGTCTATAGATTACTGTCTTCAATTCTGGAAAAATCCTCAATCATTAGTTACTCCAACTTATCTCCAGTTCACTAATAATTTTTCATCTGTGTCTTATTACTGTTAAATCTGTTGCTTAAGGCTGTTTATTTCTAAAAGTTCTACCTCTTCTCCAGATCTGTAACATTTTTTCTCATTTGCTGTTCCTATATGTTCAACCTGGGGCCAGGGATATATAGCTCAGCGCCACAGCACCTGCCTGGCAAGTGCAGGGTCCTGAGTTTGATTTCCGGTACCCAATCAATCAATCCTATACATTCAACCCTATCATTTATCTCTAGTAAAAACCAGTGAGCAGAGGGGTCTTCTCCCCTGCGTCCAGTGCCTTGAAGGTAGAGTCTTTGTGAGTCTGTTCCTGCTGCTTATCTCTACCTGTTCTTGTGAACTTTCTTCTTCCTTC